TCAGGTTCAGCTAAATAAAATGTTGTTTCTCTCTGGATTGATTGAGACATTGTAAAAAAAGGAGATAACATTAGTTGTGTTTTTTAAAAGTTCCAACGTGACATTATTTGAAATCTTCCCTCTTTATTGGAGCTCTATGAATATTTACATTGAATTTCTCTTCTTTTTCCATCCAGCGTTTCCAGACGGCTGTTGTTAAACACATGTCTGTTGATGTGTGTGTAGTGCTGCCTAAGTTTAAACTGACAGTGGTCACGCTGCTGCCTGTCACTGAACACAATCCAGTAACACAACAGACTGTGTTGAAGACAGATGCTGCTGAAGTCTGTGATACAGCTCTGGTGCAAAAGGACTGTGGCCACAAGGACTTGGCGTATGTGCTGCACACATCTGGAACCACTGGCTTTCCAAAGACTGTGAGGGTACCACACAAGTGTATACTCCCCAATATACTGCAGCTGAGGTCAGGATTTCTACCTTCATGCCTCTATCTCCTGCTCTGGAGCATCATTTTAAAAAGTATTTAAAACTGCACCTCTCTTTGCTCAGATCGTTGTTTCAGATGAGAGCAGATGATGTGGTTTTCATGGCCTCGCCTTTAACCTTTGACCCCTCTGTGGTGGATATCTTCCTGGCCTTATCATCAGGGGCTCAGCTCCTCATTATCCCCTCTGTGATCAAGAAAATGCCCAATCGACTGGCTCAGCTGCTGTTCAAGCATCACAACACGACGGTCTTACAGGCAAGAAGGATTTCGATTTCAACGGTGTCTCAAGGATACTGATATTGGCATGCTTTGATAAAACTACAAAGACCAACACAGAGCTGATAACCACACTCAGCTTGTCTGTGGGAAAAACTAAGGATACATTCTGTAGTTTGTGAGATAACATGGCGTATCGAGGGTTATTTTCTACTAGGCTACTTTACCTTATCTTCAATTCTAGAGAAGTGTGAGGAATTCATGGGACCCCCGTATCCCTTCATATCTGTCACACTTGACATAGTGCTTCAGTGTCATTCATTACATTTTTTAAACCTGCAGGAAATCCTGATCAATACTTATTTTACCTGGAATGGCCCAGACAAACTTTAAATCCCATTTAATGTGGTGTTTTCTTGTTTCCGCAGGTCACGCCCACTCTGCTCTGCCGCTTCGGGCCCCGTGTCCTACAACAGGAGGTGTTGTCGTGCGGCTCCTCGCTGCGGGTGTTGGCTCTGGGTGGAGAGGCCTGTCCCTCGCCGGCTCTGCTGAGGAGCTGGAGGCACGAGGACAACAAAACCCACTTCTTCAATATCTATGGTGTCACTGAGGTGTCGTGCTGGGCCTGCTGCTACAAAATACCACAGTCCAGCAACCTGTGAGTGCTCCTCTTTGAAATTATTTCTGAAATCTAAACGTTCATTTGAGCTGAAGTAAAAACAACTTTAACATCACTGATCCTCCAGCTCGGCGTCCTCAGTGCCTCTCGGGACGCCTCTGATGGACACAGTGGTGGAAGTCAGAGATGAACATGGTGGCGTTGTTACCGAGGGTGAAGGACAGGTGTTCATAGGTGAGAAAGATCTCACTGTGACACACACACATGCATGCAGATTTTACTTTGGTGAAGTGAATCCATGTGACCTGTGTTTGCAGGTGGAGAAGACAGAGTGTGTCTCCTGGACAACGAGGAGGATGTTATCCCTGGGACAATGAGAGCCACCGGAGACTGGGTGAATGTTAAAGATGGACAGCTGTTCTACCTGGGACGGAGAGACAGGCTGATAAAACGCCATGGGAAACGGGTGAACTTGGACGGCTTGCAGCAGGTACAGTGTTCTGTATGTATAAAGTGTATTTGGCCAATTGTATTTATTTATGTTCTGTGTCATATTTAATTCTTAGTTTCTAGAAAGAGAATTTGATGAATAAATAGTAAAGTATTTTTCACTTAATTCACACACTGTACATCAAAATACACAAATCAAAGGCAGTAAAAAGGTATTTATTGATGGTCTATCATAAACTACTGATAATGTAGCTCACACTGTAGGTGTAGCTGTTGTCTTGATCTCAACAATAGCGGGATTATGTAGTTTTGAAGCTTGCAGGTCTCGGCCTAGAGAGAGATGTGTGATCTGTAGCTAAAGTCAAAACAGGAACCGTTGAGTTTATTGGCCACATGGTGGCAGTGCAACAAACTACAGTGACACCTTAAAACCTTGTTAACCCAGAGCAGGAGCAGTTGGAGTTGGGTTCTTTGTTTAGCTTCATTTTGGTCTTCACCGACTGCTGTGAAAAGCATCTGATATGTTAGCTGCTCAGTGCTCCACAATGTTCATTTGCTGTTTTTTATTTTTTTATTTTATTTTTTGCACTTACAGGAATAGTGAGTGAACCAAAACAAGAAAAAAGAAAGAATCTAAAACGCTCTGTAGAGGGAAGTAGAAATGCAGGGCTGAAGAGTGACTCTTTTACATTGATTGATTATGTTAATCAGTGAGGACTTGAGAGGCCAGTACTCCAGCAATTTTCAATTAAGCATTTTCAATGGGTTTAAACATTGTTATTGTGTGTGTACTGCTACAGATCAAAGGCAAAACAAAGTAATTAAAAACATTATGAAGTAGAATGATTCAGTGGAGCAGATACCACCACCAAGGCCCAACAGTCTCCTTAAATTCAATCAACCTGCACCAAATTACACACTCACAGATATTTAATTCACTGTTTCATCAAGATCCATGAATGATTCCCTGGGAAATCAATGAAAATGTCAATTTTAAAGAAAAAGTAAATTGTAAATTAACTTCCTTGACCCATACTGCATTCTTTCACTCTGTTTTGTGGAAATCTGCTGAGAATTTTTGCATAATCATGCTTTGAAAGAAACAAACAGTCATTGGGATGAAAACATAACCTCCTTGAGGGAGATAATCAAATAAAACTCAAGAGAACAGCAATAAAATGCATATTATTAATGAATCCATAAATCTTCCTGTCTGTCTTTTCTCGGGGGATTTTCTTTAACCCTGGTGAACGGGCATTTGTAGGTTTGCTTTAAAACTGTTAGCATACCTCGGTCTGCATTTTATCAGAGAAGAAGAGACCTATTTGACTTTAAATCACCAAATAAACATTTGAGCAACAGCAGAGGACAATTCTTTCTTTGTCTGCAGACTATTTGGATGATAGACATGTTTACGTTTAATCTCCCCCTCCTTCAGCTCATATTGAGTCTGCCTCAGGTGGAGGCCTGTGCTGTGGGTCTGTTGGAAGGCGTTCGGCTGCTTGCCTTTGTCGTGGCGTCCACATCTGGAGGCCAGAAAGCAGCTGCTCCTCTCCCCTCTCCTGCACAGCAGCACGTGGAGAAATCCCCCTCAGCTCTGGCTCAGCATCGGGACGACCTCCACTCTCCCGTACTCCAGCGGGAGCAGACAAGCAGTGCGGACGGGGATCTGAGCAGGCAGATTGTGGACCAGCTGTCTTTGCTGCTGCCGTCACACAGTGTTCCTGACACAATGCTGCTGGTCCCGGCCTTATGCCTGACGCCTCATGGTGAGCAGCAGGTCACTCCAGAGGAGACACAGCAGTTCACTCATTCAGCATTATAGGGATTCTTATATTGGTTTTTTTCGGCAGGCAAAGTAGACATGGAGGCACTTATGAAAATATACCAAAGAAAAAAACGGTGTCTAGAGGCTCCACAGGGAGATTTCAA